CCCAACCCTAACCCCTACTACTACCGACCCTACCTACGTACGTACGTAGGACGTACTAGTAGTACTTCGTACTACTACTCCTCCTACACTACTACTACACTATATATATATATATATATATATATATATATATATATATATAGTGAAGCCAATGCTTTAGCTGACAATTTGACGCGTAGGCGAGTGGATTAGTTGATTGTTAATGATATTTGAATTGTGTAATTCATTGTATTTCTCCATTATATTAATAAAAGCTCAGTGATATTGTCATAAAAAAATTGTGGACTATTGGTAAGGTTTGGCTAACACGTTAACTTATATATCATTGTCATTGACTTTGAGTTTAAGATGATCCTAGCATGCTTGGCAAACTAATGTCAATGAAATTAAGGCAGCCACATGGCGTTTAGAAGCTGATAACCAATTATATTCGATTTTTAAATTTTCCAAACTCCAATCAACTTACCAAGAAGAAAAATAAAGATATCCAAAATAGCCGTACATTTTGTTCTTCAAAACATGAGCATTTATTTATGGGTATAAAGTTGCAACCTTAAACAATTAAGGTAAGGTTCACTTCAAAATCTCAATAAAAGATGTATTTTCATTACCAAAACTTACCCCTAAAATAAAATTGAAAGCTCCAAAAATGGTACAAATCTAACAAATCAATGAGCACCCAAAAATCTTGAAATTGGATGGACTAGATAATGTATTACAGATGTACTATTTTTAGGACTTGAAATTCATTATTTATTACATATCATATATATCTAGGTCAAGATAATCAATTGGAGAATCTTCTAGTGACGAAACAACCTATTTTGCTGGGTTTTTTAGGTGCACCTTATTTCTATAGTATAAGGTTAATACCTTATATAAACTTTTTCTTTTATTTATTAATGTGATTTTAAAAAAAAAAAAAAAGAAGTTGCATCTCAAAGTTGAACTATTTAACATTTATCCCACATGTAATTTCATAAATTTCAGAATTTATTTTTCATGTCATTTGATGGCTATTTGAAATTCTATAAGAAAAAAATGATGGGGTATTGAAAACGCCTACTCTCTCTCTCTCTCTCTCGGACCACCATATGGAACTAGGACAGGCATTAACCATACCAACTCACTCTGACTAATTTTATGGAATAAATATTGCCTTGGGGAAGATGATCCTCTATGTCAAACTTCCTTTGAAATAGCAAGGAAATGTGAGGACGGCCTCCTTTTCTCTATAGTCTCAGCCAATAGAGAGAGAAGAATATTCCATTGGGGTTCCCCTGCTTTACGAGAATGGATCAAAGCAAACTGGAGACAGAGGCTTGAAACAAGTGAAATTTGCTGCTCTTGCTGGAGTGTAGTGTTCATTTCTCCCTCAGACAAAACCCAAGTTAGGAGTACATTTAGGACCAATTTTGAGATGTAACCTCTTAAATCTTGCGATCAACTTAAAAAACAAACAAATATATAAATAAATCAAATCACGTTATCCATGTGCTGGATAGTTCTTGAAAAAGGATGGAGTTCCAAGATTGAACAAGGCATCCGATCTTTGGATGAAAATATCTGGGTGTAAAAAAATGACTTAGTCATTATTTGGTGGATCCAAACCTTTCAGAAAAGGAAAAAAAGAAAGAAAAACCCTCCCTGATCCCGTGGGAGCAAGGGATGCTTGTTTACATTAAAACTAGTGGGTTTTTAATACGAAAAACACGTGAGGAGGAGTTTGCCTATCGAGATCAGAATCTTTTATTGGGGTTGAGAGAACATGGGAGAAAAAGCCTAGACAAAATGTCAAAACCTCCGCAAAGGACAGCCAGTTGCACATGTTCTTTGTGGCTTGTCCCTCTCAATTTTCCCCATCAACTTCCCCCCCTTCTAGTTTTAAATGTCTAGTCTAAATCAGAATTTGGGCATTCATAAGGTAGGAGGTACTATAAGTAATTTTATATAAAACTACCTCCAGCCGTTAGATATTGAATCAGGCGGTAATAGGTCGTTTACGGTTGGCAATCGGCATAGGTCCCCGAACAGAGTCTAGGTCTGGGCCTGGGCCCGTCTTTTAGATCCAACTGGTCGGGTCCGGGTCAAACGCTCAGACTCAAACCAGGTCGGGTCTGGTTTCGGGATTGACATGGACCCTATCAGGTCAGGTCCAGGTTTAGGTTTGGGACCCAATATAAAATATATAAATTATGTAATGCATAAATTAAATTTTCATTTGTTTTAATTTCTAGAATCAGGTACGAGTTGGAACAGTATCCAAGTCAATTGGACCTGACTGGGGTCCATGTAAAGCCTGGTCGACCCAAACTCGTCCCAACCCGTTGCCAACCCAATGTCATTTTCTCTTTACAAAGCTCAAAAATAATTTTTTGTACTTTGAATACAGCCAATGACATTATTCTAAAACACTCATGAATACTTGTCATATACTTCCAACCGCTCGATTTTACATCTAATAGCAGGGGAAGGCAAAAATCATTGACTTTTCTCAAAACAGGATACCGTCACGATCCATTGCTAGGATCAGTGGACGGCATAAGAAAAACCTCCGGATAGTATTGGCAGATGTCTTCTAAACTTCAGCTTATTTGCAGACATCCATATGGGTGATGGAGGTCAAAGATTTGAACTCTAGAAGTTTATCACAAAAAGTCCAAACAACAATACTCTCACAGTGTGTGTGTGTGTGTGCGCGCATTGGACATTGCCTTGCAAATGATAAAAGAACGGCTATTGCATCTTACCAAGTAGATACCATCCAGAAGGAGCACCATGAAGAAATTCAATACATTCACCAACCCACATAATCAAACTAAATCACAAAAAACAAATAGTAGCCACAAGTGCAAGAAACTGCCAAATATTACACATCAAAATCTCACTATGAACACTCTCGTTTCACTTAAAGTAAAACAACACACCCAAACCTTATTGTTTTGAATAATAAAGAAATAATAAGGCAGAGCATGCCAGCGGACACTAAACCAAGAGAAGGGCTAGCCGATTTGCGTGGACCGCAAGCCGATATGAGTGTGGTCCATTTGATTTCTACAAATGAAAACACAAAATGTTTCCAAAAAGGCATGGTGCCCACTGACAAAACAGTACTTTACCACCCAAAGTAAATCAACGGTACTCATCCTCAAGGTTACGGAAACCGGCGGTGAGATCATCATACAGCTTGCTGAACTTCTTCACCAGTGCCTCCTCTCCCTCAGCAGGATCCTCAAATTTTTGTGACCTGCATTTTGTTCCAAAATTACAACAGTCTCTTTCTCCATACATGTGGCCGTGTAAGCCAGAATTTGGATACGAAAATGTTTAAGAATCGTTCAGATGCTTAAAATAGCTAAATATAGAAAATAGGGTTGTCAGAAATTTTCAATTTAAGAATTTTACAACATATTTTCTTACTTCATAGAAAAAGATCAAAAAGAACGCCAGCCATTTATAGAGGGCAAAAATTTACATAAGGTTAACACCTTATATTGTAGAATTAAGTTACATTTCAAAAATCCATCGGAAAAGGTTATTTTGATGTTGGAAAACTATCTAATTGATCATCTTGACATCGAGACATATGAACATAGCAATAAATAAGAAAAGATTTCAAGTCCCAAAAGTAGTACATCTCGCGACATCTGGACAATCCATTTCAAGATTTTGATTTGTTTATAATCTGCTTGATTTGAACCACTTTAGCATTTGAAAATTAGAGATGAAAATAGATTCTCAGGCCATTCTAGAAATGTTCGACACAAAAATGCATCTTATGACAAAATTTGGAAGTGCACCTTACTTAAATTGTTTAAGATTGCAACCTTAAACACCCTTTATATGGATAGAAGAAATCCCACAACTCTACTAGTTGAGAGTGGTCATTTGTTAAAGGAACGCTAATAATCCAATGAGCAGTAAATTTGAATTTAACAGTAAAACAGCCCTAGTTGTTTAATGCGTTTTTTTATGACAGAACTCGTGATACTACAGAACGTGATTACACATGAAAACACCTTGTGTGTCTAATAAGCCTAGATGGCCTTCCTTGAGCCTTTTTTCTTTTTTGAGCTTTGATGAAGAAGAATGACAATGTTTTTCAAGATATAAAGAGCAGCTTTTTGAGATAACTCCTATAGTAGTCATATTATCAATACCCAGGACTTTTAAACAATTATTTGGAAGGGGAGTATCAGTACACAGCTTCTGTATGGTATATGGTAAAAAATTGCTGGATCCTCGCTCATTCTCAACAACAGAGTGGGGACTAATGGTACTTTATGGAGGGAGTTCACCCTTAATCTCCACTGTTCATTGTTGAGACTTGATGGTGGATACCGCCATGTCCCATAAACGAGCTATGTTAATATATATACTTCCTCCTTTATGGTATACTCATCATCAACTAAGCCAAAAGAATATATACTCCTGCAGGAGCATATTGCCCATTGACTTCCTCAGGTAAAGCCCTAGATGTACATCATGAAAGATCTCTCTCCTACTCCTCCACTTCACTTACACTCAGCAAAGGTATATTATTAGGAACCCTGAGTTTTGGCACTTAATCTCCTCAACCAAGCTACCAACCGGAATAATGAACTTAAAAAATAAATAATATAATAAAACAAAATCATACACACTATATGTGCCTGAAAACATAACATTCCAAAATTGAAAAGACACTATCCAATTTTTGGACAATCAGATCGGTGTTTGGAAACTCAAAGTCCAACTTTTTTTCTTTTTAAAACATCTGGTTATTCTGAAGTGGATCCCCAAATTTCAGATGGAAAAAGTCCTCCTAAGTAGCTCGTTTGCTCGAGGGAGTCAGTGCATGGTGTGCTCCTAGGGAAGCACACTATAAGTGGTCTAAACTGGGTTGCTATCAGACCAAATGTGGAATCCTAAGTTCCCCAATTTCCTATCAGGAAAGTCTAGAAATTTTTCTTAAGCAAGACAAAGCAATGTATATTACTTACACTAATCGATAGAAGAGGTCACCCAAACGTTGTTTGACTATGCCATATGTGATCTTCTGGCCATCAGGACCAGCTCCTCTCTCCACAGCCTGCAAAAGAGTACTATTGTGAGTGTTCATTATCACGAAGAACGAATGAAAAAGCAAATGGAATAGGAACATTCCAC